TCTCTCTCTCTCTCTCTCTCTCTCTCTCTCTCTCTCTCTCTCTTCCCTCAGCAAACTCTCGTAGCCTTAAGCTTAGAAACTTGATTAAAAACGTCACGTAGCGCAAGGGATGGAGTACGTCGAGCGAGAGCAATTGAGTGGAGAGACGATAAGAAATTTCTACGGCGGCGGTAGGGACGGAATCGCGATTTTAACTTATCGTCCTTTTAACGCGACGTCCCGCGATTAGCCGGGAATAACGATAGAAAATTAATTTGCCAACGTTACGTCATTCTCTACATTCCCTTTTTTCTATCTTTCTTTCTCCCTTTTCCCCCCTTTCTCTGCCATTCCGCACACACGCGTACACACACGCACGCACTGAGAAGTATTTACGACAGTAATCACGTGGAACTAATTACTGTAAGCTATCGAGAAAACCGTTTGCTCTTACTACGTTTCATCATGACGTTAACGATAATAATAGCCTTACGTGTATAACGCTCTCTGTAAAGGAAATATCGGCTCGGGTCGAAAGTAATTAGAATTTTAGTTGGATTAACCATCTGTACCTCTCACCCGTCTTGACCGTCGTTTTTGATATGCGAATCGTGCTTGATTGGCACGCAACAACCTACCTCGTGATCGTGAGTCCAATAAATGGTCAGGGGTGGCTCAGGACTATGTCGTACCACGCAGGTCAGGTTCATAGTGCTCTCCTTGTTTATATACATCTCTGACTCCCCGATAATCTCCGTTACGGGTTCTGTGGGCAAGAATAATAACTGTAATAACGGAATAACGTATATATTCACACATACATACACTCTCTGTCACACACACACACATACACACACACACACAAATGCAGGATTATCGCGCGCGAAACTACACCGGTTGATTTATCGAAGGCAGAAGACGTGATTCCATGTTCTTCCGCCGTTATTTCCTCGTTAAACGCAACAATTATTGTCACCGGTAAGAGAATGAAAAAGAAAAGAAGAAACATTGCAGTGAGTGCGGTTCTCGCGTTTAAAATTGTGCGTATCGACTGTCATCTCATCATGCTGAATTCAACTTGTGCAAGCTTGCAGGAGGCTAATATTAATACTAAGCTGTAAGCTAATATCAAGTTCATGCCAAGTTTCGAATTACGGGAGCTACTATTTGCAAAATAAGCGAGCACGTGTAGCGCTGACAGAAATTTATAATTCGCTCCGAGCTCGCGCGGAAATTGCAATCTCGATCTGCTCACGGCGCGCAAATCTCGACGGCGACGAGACGACGACGGGCTTCGGAAAAAAGCCGGAGGCGCTACATTTCGATTTTATTAACCGTCGAGTGTCTCGCGATTTAATCTCATCGCGCGAAAATCATCGCCGTCTCGTGCCGACGGCGACGAGGGAAACGCCGATAAAGTAATACTCGTATCGCGCACGAACGCGTTATCGAAAAACTGCCCGCGATTGATCGAGTCTCATTAGCAGCAAGCTGTTAATTTCAAGTTTCCATTGAGTCCTGAAATTACGAGGCTAGCTGAGCCAACTGTTCGTCGAGAAAAAAAAGTCATATTTTCGACTAATATAACTGCACACTAAAATAATTACGGTCAGAAAAACTACCTCTCGTAATGAGTACGACGATGATATCAGTAATAATAATGTTATATACGGACAAATAGAGAATTTTACAATAAACATTACTGTATAATTTTGTAACTGGGAAAATAAATATTACAGTATAATTTTGTAACTGAACGGATCGGCTATATTTGCAGTAACTGATTATACTTTCATTTCACATGTATCGTTTATATTCCGGGAATTAAAATATGCTATTAAAAAATTTATTACGTTAGCTAAATTTAGTTTAATTCTTTTATTTGAGTAGAAATAATTGCTCTAATAAAAACCTGAAGTTAAAAACTCTCATTTTTAAAACATTTTATGCTTACTATTAAAGTGTGTTACTTTACTATTAAATTTAATTGTACCATTAATTTAAAAGTACTTTTTTTTCTCACGTGAAAAATATTTCACATATCACTACCAAATGAATATGTTACTAAATCTTGTTACTGTTACTAAATACTAAATGAATATGTTGTTAGTAACGAACAGATAAACAGATTGTTTATCTCTCAGACATTTTTCCTGTTGGTGCAGGAATGTAAAAAATTGAAAATTGGAAAATTGGAAGAAAAAATTTATGTAAATAGTAAAAGTTGCAAAGAATTTATGCGAGAGAGGGGAAAAAAGCTATGATATTCTCTCAAAGTGCTGTACTTGCATGCATTATGACGGGGATTGCCTGTGCGTTTTGCCAAGCGCGTGTAGCGAGTGCACGCTGTTGGCGAAATGCTTCCTTGGAACGTAAACTTTATAAGGAAAAAAGCGCACAAGTAAGCATTCCGCAGAGGCCTACCGAGACCGCGCACAACTATACACGCCTGTCGGCGAAACGGATAGGCAACCCATCGTTAGGCTGACCTGCATCTAACAAGTAAACCTACCCAAGTGTTACACCTCGATTTTGATAAGCTTTTAACATGCTGTAGTCTAGGTCTAAATAAGAGAAAATATTATTCTTTTCCGAAATCCCTTTTTCCCTCCTTAATTTTGTAGAATCTGCATTGTTATAAAGCTTATTAAAACTTTTACCTGAACTTTTTTGAAACCTTTTTTTTTTGTATTATTTACCGTTCCGATAATATTCACTCAGAAATATTAAAACCGATTTTTTTCAAGAGGATGTTTCACCCTCTTACCGGCGTATGGGCACGTATAAGATAATATGTGCACGGAAAAAATAATTCTGTTGGTGCAACCGAATTTTCGGTTGCTCAGGGATCAGACGAAAACTCGGCTGTAGGAACGGAAAAATTCTTTTATGAGGCTTTTGTATAGTCAATTGTTCTCAGTTGCCTCAACCGAGTTCTAATATCGTTGAATCTTCAGACGAATATTTACGGTTGCGACAACAGAAATATTACTTTTCATAACAGAGATATCGTTTCTGATCACCTAATTTTCAGTTGGTTTCTATTTGGTTGCACCAACTGAAATTTTTTTGCGTGTGTCTCTTATTTAGACCTACACGCAAAAAAATAACTTAGTAATATCAGCTAAACCGCGGTAGCTGATTCAAACTTAGTCAAAAGGCTAATCGTTTAGTTGTCGTTTAAGAATTGGCTATGACAGCTAAAATGTATTCGCTATGAAATACAAATATATTAGGTAACATTAAAAATGCACGTTATTTCAAGTAGCTAAGAAAATGGCAGTTATTCCTAAATTTCTTATCGTATGCATATATTAAAGAAGTTTGCCGCACAGCTACAGTCATTTATTTCTAGTAGCTAATTTCTCACTGTAGCGCCTAAGTTTAACAGCAAATAAATTTAGCTTCGGTAGTAACGACATTAGCTGTCTCTATTTCAGTGACACATCTTATCTGCCACAGCTATTTTTTAGCTCTGGAAGCTAGTTTTTTTTTTTTGCGTGTAGACTACAGCATGTTAAAAGCTTATCAAAATCGAAGTGTAACACTTGGGTAGCGTTTACTTGCAAGTGCAACATGCGTGCATGTGGCCAGCGCTAATTTCCTGCTGGAGCGCCAAGAAAATATAGTCGACGGCGCGAGGGTGAAGTAATTACAGTGACGAAGAGTATAAGAGGCGGTATAAGCGCGCGCTACCGCTGATAATCTCGTGTCCGCGTCGCCGCTGCTACTTTTCCGTTAGATCAACAAAGAGATACCCTCGGCACGCCGGGAATGACTATCGTTCCGACGAGATTAGCCATCCCCTTCCGCCTCCTGTATCCGCGAGATCCGCGATCTCACGATGATGGCAAGTTCGCGAGAAGCTACGGCGGGATCTCCCAGTGACGGGCCTCGCTCGCGCGACAACTTCCGCGAGTCCTCGCGAAAATCCCGAGGAAACAAAGCGGAATATCCTGATCTCGCGCGCAGCGTCGGATGTCGCTCAGGCGATCTAACTTCTCCTACGGCTGAAATTTCATCGGCGCGACTCGAAGCGACGCACGGCGGATCGCACGACAGCGGCGGCGGCGAAACGCGCGAAATCCATGCGCCGCGTTCCCCAGCGAATGATTAAGTCACATTAACACTAAGCTGTTAATATTAAGTTCGTGCTGCTGCTAAGTCCCGGCAGTCACGACTGATGGAACTTTATCATCCTCGAGGCGGCTCGCATATAAGCGCGACGGGGATTCATAATTCGCCAGGCTCGCTACGACTGCGAACTTCCGCGAGCACCTTCTCTCGCAAAAATCCCGGGATTCGCGAGACGCGAATTTGCACGGCGATCTCGCGACGGCAGAGAGAAAGAACGTGTCATGGTCCAATTCAATTTCGCTGTCTGAAAAATTCATAGTGGCCCGCGCGAAAACGCGTAGTGACGCGCCACGGTGAGGGAAATCCCGTCGAATGATTGAGTCGCGCGGCAAGTCAGTTGCTCGGCGATGTAACAACAAAAATAACGACGACAACAACAACGCGGCACAACTGAAACAAGTGCAACTGCGGGGCGAGAGTATCGCGATGCACGTGCGGCGCGCATTAAGCCGTCGACGACAAATAGGCACTGCAGTAAATTTCCGCGTAGCTTCGCGTCGCAGAATCAGCACGTCGTGAGAAATGAGGGAAGAAGAGAGTCACGTGAGAAGCAGCAGGCTTGGGCGTTTACGTGCGAGCTATGATATTTTACGTCTACGTGCAAGCAACGGAAACTACGATCGAAACGTTATCTACGTAGATGATGAAGAATTCGTGAATTTAAAGAATGTATGGTTTGCGCAAGAATTAATTAAACAGACTCGCAATTTTTATGTCACTTTTAGGATGTACAGAGAAAAATCATTTGCTGGCCCAGCAAATTTTCTGCTGGTCTAGCAAAATCTTTTCGTTATTATATAGACAGCAAACAGATCTGCTAATAGCACTAATCACTATTTGCTGGATGTAATATAATTTGCTGAATCTACAAATTATTTTGCTATAAGAACCATGATGGATTTATATAAGCAGTTGCAGTTTTGCTTCGATAGCAAATAAACTTGCTAAAGATACATTGTTTTGCATCAATAGCAAATTAACGTGATTCTTAGGATACAAATACACTCAACAAATTTTGTCTATCCTAGCAACGAAACTACTTCTGCTCTGATAACGAATAATTTGTAAAATTAGTTACATCAACTAAATGTTTTTGATGTCACTACGAATATGCAACGACGATTTTGCTAAAAGAGCAAAATTATTTTTCTCCGTGTAGAAAAACTAGAAATTTTGTCCCTTCAACAAACTAGACTCCACAGAATTATCTTACCCTCAGAGCTGAATCTGTCTACCAATCTGTCACACGCAATAAAAGGAAAATGTCACGCAATTTCCTATCCTTAAGCATCGCATTTGTAATTTTGCTCAGAGAAGAGATACTGCAACTGTGTCGTAACTCAGTTACTCCTTTTTGTACGTAATTTCTGTACACTTCAACAAATTTTGCAATGTTCTACGTAATTTACGCTACGTTGTCCGCGCGTTAAGAAAGGCTGGTGTGCGCGTCACGTGGACGACATGTAAATAATTCGTGTGGACGTAAGGTCTTGAAATCTATGGCGCAACTCTGAGAAGAACTCACCGACCACGGAGAGATGCATGGAGTGACCTATGGGCGGCGTCGTGGACACCTGACACTCGTATGTGCCGGAATCCCGCCGTTGTGGGTATTTCACTTGTAGCGTCCAGTCCTCCGTGCGAGGAAAATGCGACGCGACGAATCTCTGGTCGGATGTGTACGTCTCGACGCCCACGGTCAGAAGATGGATATCTCTATGCCTCACCCATGACACCTGGGGGAGAAAAAAAAGCGAGTAGAGTGTACGCACACTCCTTTTGCCACCCCCGTGTATTCACGCTACACTGCCTTGCTCCCGCGAGCCGAGTAGTCGACCCCGAGATTTGCAGAGTCAAAATTCTGATCCCTCCTTCGATCTCGATATTCCATTTACCGCTTGCTTTGACACTCTGCAACCTATACATCGGTCTCTTTGATGCTATTTAACCTACTAACTTTACCGAGAGCTCCTCTTTAGAACCTACAAGCGGCATTTTGTGCGCTTCCCGCCATTCAGAGGCGCTATGTGGAACTTCAGTTTCCGTGTATTAAATAATTGTATTACATGTGTAATACATATGCGCGTGAAACATACACTGATCTGCCTCAGAATATACATATGTTAGGAGGTTCAGGTCGAGCATAGAGAGCTGAAATTTCGGCTCGAGTTTCCGTGAACTCGAATTCAATCGGGAATCGAGGTCGGCTCGAGACACTCTTCGGGGTCGGCTTCGAATTTCGAGATGCCCTACGCGTTTTCTCGCGTGTTATTCTCGCATTTTCGTATATAGAAAAATGTAGTGTAGGCTGCTGCTGTTGCTGCACTTGCGCGCCTGTCAGCGAAACGCACAGGCAACCCGTCGTACTGACCTGCATGCAAGTGCAACACTGTACGCCCTGTAATAACATTGGTCGATGTGATCTCGCCAATATCGCGTATGAATTTCTGTTTTTTGATTGTTTTCTTCCGTTACGTATGAATTTTTATGTGCTCAGCCCAATATCGCCCGTACACTCGTGGCTGACGTATTATTCGTCAACGTTGGCCCAAATTTGCTGCGTCATGTGGAGCCGGCCGTCCCTTTTTGCTCGTAATAATGTATAAAATTTCGTTCATAATAAAGATAAATGGATAAATGTAGCGAAAACTATCCCTGCCAACCCTGCGACCCGCCGGGAGATCTTTTCTCCTCTCTGACTTTTATATCAATGATTGCAGATGCAGCGACTCATTGATCTCGTTCTGATGCGGCAGTACAAAAATCATCCAACTGCCTCCAAGTGCCGTGGATTGGTCGGATTCGCGACGCGAGGGAATCGACGCGAATCCGTCGAGTTGCTGCGCGTCTCTGCGAGAAATCGAGCTCGTCGAAATTGCGGTGATTCCAATCAGCATTTTTCGTCGACGTAGTGGAACGGTTCGCGTGTTCTTCGGCATAGGAAGGATGGGAGGTGAGTCGGCGAGAGGGAGATGGGCGTGATTGATTCCCGAGTCGGAATTTGGATCCCAGTTTCGACCTCAATATTCCATTTCACGCTTGTTTTGATACTACGGAGCCTGTATCAACCTCTTTTGATCCCGCGTAATCTGCCGACAGATCCTCTTCAGGATCTGCAAGAGCGATATTTTGTGCGTTTTCTGAACCGTTCAGGGGGCGTTAAGTAGAATTCCGGTTTCTATATGCGCATTAGACATACACTGATCCTTCAGAATACACAGACACTGTTGGAAAGTTCCGGCCGAAGGTGGGACTGAAATTTCGACTCGGGTTTGCACAAGTGCCGGGCGCTCGCGAGTATATGTTATAGCCGCGGCGCGAATGTGTCCAATATTGAAATGCCGGACACGTACAACGAAAATGCGTATTCTCCCATAAAAACGGCTTCATTGAGTTTTGCACGCGTGCCTGGCGTACCGGAGTCCAGATGAAAAGAGACGAAGGCGCGGCCACGAGACCGCGACGTGGCTTTTGTTCTTAGACGCGGTTACGTTCGATTCGCTAATGAAAGGCGCGCATTCGATCCTGAAACTTTAATAGAGGGGGAGTATAGGGGAGAGAAAAAATCGTTCGCGTCGGTGCCGCCTCTTGCGACGAGAAAAGCGCGTCTCCGTGCCAACAAACGCCGGCTGGACCGTTCAAATAATCATCGAAACACGCGGCGATCGCCTCCCTCGATGCGCGCTCGTCGCGCGGAAACGTCGAGGTTTAATTTCGCCGGGAGCGGCGAGCGCAATTAGCCGGCGCGAAGATTTTAATTTTTTTAAAAATACGTTTCATTTCGAGAAGCAAAATTGATGCGCCCGGCAGACGAGATGCACGGGCGTGCTTTTCGATTTGTGTGCACGGTGATCTCGCGGAGAAAATTCGTCCGAAATTGTTATTAGCTCGCTCGGGGAAAAAAATGCGATCCCGGAAAATCAAATTGGCGCGAGAGTTGCGCCCGAGTCGAAACTCGCGCATCTCTTCGATCCCTCGTACCGTGACGAGCTCACTGAAAAATTCGCACGAAACTACCGGGCGATTTATATTTCACTCCGACGCATTACATTGTATCTGAACGAGAGCAGCATCGGTGGGACATTCGATTCCACGGGGCGGGATCGCTCGTAATGCCCGTAATGCCGACTCGGGAAGATATATATATCTATATATATGTGTGTGTGTGTGTGTGTGTGTGTGTGTGTATATATATATAGTGAAATATTTTATTCATTAGTTAATCATTTATTTTATGGTTAAACAGGCTTTGAATAATAAACGTAAAATGCTAAATGTAATGTCACTTCTGTCGTACGGTCCTTGCTTATATCAGGTTGTATACGTCATTCATCTTGATAACTTTTAATCCTGAAGCGGAAGTCAGTAGTTTATGGTCCATGATAGAAGTTCATTCGCTTAACGCACCGCTTAGTGTTCCCATTTGATTGAGACAATGTCCAAGAATTTAATCAATTCCGTACAAAATGCTGTGTCAGAAACGTTGTCAGGATTATGTTATAGTTATCCGCAATTAGAGTATCAAACATTGCACAAAGTTGTATTGTCACCAGATGTATGTACACACTCAAATGCGTTTCCAATCGTAGTTACTGTTGATAATGAAGGAGCACTATTGCTTAACGCGCTCGCTACCACATATGTGTGACGCAATCAGGAGAGAATAGTGTGTTACGTATGTGTGACAGAGGAAATTTATTTTTCTATGTTGACATAATCAAACTAAGTCTGTTTTACACAATTACCTAAAAAAAAAGTAAAAGTGATTTGTGGGGATAATCCTCTATATAAAAACTGTGGTAGCAAACGTCTTAATAGTAATTGAATTGGATGGTTAATCAGTAGCGTACCGAGTGTTTTTGATAGTCAAGCGCAGTTATCTTTTCATTTAATATTTTGATCTAAATAATTTAAAAACTTATAAATACTTTATATCATAAACAAATGAGT